ACTGACTGAACAAATTAAAGTTGTGTTGTTTTTACATGTTTGACTGAGCTTGGGAAGCTCTTGGTGTGTTTAAGTGCTGTTATGGTGCAGAGTTTTCAATAAATTTGTAATTCAGTACATTCATGTCTGCATTTAACAAAAACAAATGTTTTAAGTTAATTCAGCACTGGGTTTGTAAGCTCAAACATCCAGGTAGACAACAAAAATGGCTAAATCATGTCATTTGAACCTGTTTCAGAAACGGGTCCAGATGACATGATTTAGCCATTTTTGTTAGCTCGATATCGGATCGGTATCGGCAGGCGTAAAAAAAAAAATAATAAAAATAAATAAATAAAAAATAAATAAATAAATAAAAATAAACAAATAAATAAATAAATAGATAGATATCGGTATCGGATCCGAAGTGAAAAAAAAAAAAAAAGTGGATCGGTACATTCCTACTCCTCTGTCTGTTCATGGCGGCTGTGTGTAGGCTCGTGCCCGAGTACGACTGCCTGATTAGCTCGGCACTCACCACCGGCACTCTTTTAGGGGCGGAGATTTTTTTAAAGGGTAGAAGTGAAAATGCAACTTGAAGGGGCAGCTCGTATGTGATATTAAGAAGTCGTGAGTGGCTGTTGTGTTTAAAATGAGTGTTTATGTAATTATTTTCAGTTTACATATCCAATATAAGTTTTATTTATTCAAGGCAGTCATATTTGTTCATAACTTTACAATTAGTAAGCCTGAGACTTACCAGATCCAAGCAAACAGTTACTGGAACTCACCCTATCAAAATAAAAGAGTTCCTGGATTCTGTTCTGGCAGGATCCGGCTCAAATTAAGCTCTGGGTAGACATATTTTTACCAAGTATGCTAACTATGCTACAACAAGAATAAGAAAAAAAAGCCTGGAAATGTCTTCTAGATTATTTATCTTTAAAAAATGGATTTTCCAATTCAAAGTGCAGCCCTTTGATTGCTTTAAGTAACTCTATTCAGCCTTCTGAAAACTAAATGTTGCCCACCCCCAATTCACAGTTCATCTTCAACATAACGTTACAAGAATCTGGAAAAATTTCTGAGCTTAAAGGACAAGACTAAAAGTTAACATTGGATGCTCTTTGGGGCCTGCATTAACCCCCACAATTCAAAAGCCTGCCTCTCTGATGGTATAGGGGTGTATTAGTGACTCTGGCATGAGCAGCACATCTGAAAAGGCACCATCAATGCAGCAAAGGATATCTAGATTTTAGAATAGCAGATGTTCCCTTCCATCAAAGATGGCCCAGGAGCATTGATCAGCTAGAATCCTACAAGAAGTGTTAAAAAAAGGAACAGTTTCTTAGTTTGAACCTTTGATTTGTTTACAATGTTCCATTGGGAATAAAATATAAGTTGATGAGATTTAAAAACCATTGCATTCTGTTTTAATTTATATTTTACCAACGTTTTCAGAATCAGGTTGTTGGTTTTCAGGATGACGTGACTTCAAAAAGTACAGAGGAGACAGCTGAGCCCCCCCCCCCCCCCCCCACCCCAAGTCCAAACCTGGTTCCTACCTTGGTCTTCCTGCGCAGCGTCGTTGTAGTTGACGGGCTTACGGTTCCTCTTGCCTTTACCCAGTTTGCTGGCCAGGTCCTCCTGCTGCTGCTCGTAATGGTGCCGCAGCAGTTTCTCCCAGTAGTCCGGGTCCACGTTCTCCTCCTGTTTGATGATCTCGCGCTCGATCTCCTCAATCTGGAACTCACACAAGTTGGACCATGATGATTTAGTGACTTTTATCAAGTTCAAGAATCTTTATTTGTTTCACAGTCAGTAAAATGAATGGAGCTCTCTCCACATCCTTCTAACTCTTTGTGCCGTTTAAAAACCTTGATTGCTCAGTTCAGCTTCGGTTATGGTTCAGCTTCTTTCTGCTCTTTTCAGTTATTCTGTTATTTTTCTGCTTCTTTCAGCTAAATTCAGCTTTTTCTACTTTATAGATATTTTTCTTAGTTTTTTCTCTGCTATCTTTGCTAATTTCAGCCTTTAGTGCTTCTTTTAATACTCGCTGCTTCGCGGTTCACTTTCGAGGACTCGCTCTTTCGTGGTTTTTCAACTTTATTGTCATTGTCAACTTTAATATTACTCATGTGATTGGGAGGGTACGAGGTAAAAGTTAACCAAAAAAATTAAAAACTTCGGACAGGTGCTGCCATTTTGTAGTTTTCTTTCAATAAGCCTATACTGTAACGCTATTCAAAAGAACTACACTACCCAGAAGCCAACAGTGCTTCCGGCTGCTGCTTTCCGCCGAAATGGAGGGAAAGTTTTGCAACGCAAATCTATGCTATCTCTTAAGCTCACAGAACTGGCAGGAAAGTTGCAAATAATCCTGAAGCTCAATTATCCACGTGCACCTCAACCTGGACAGGGCGGTGGGCTCGTCGCTGCAGGGTAGGTCTGCAGAATCAGAACCAAGCTGCTGGTCTGCAGAGCTGGTGAGTAAAATTTTGCAGTACTGTGCAATACATATATGTATGTTGTTAAAATTATGTAGATTTAAGAGTTTAGAACATTGCAAGAGTGTGGGAAGGGTTTATAAAGTTTTAAAATATATAAATACTAAAATAAATATAGTGTTCCTACTTTGCAGTTTTTCATCTATCACAGGGGTATCTGGAACGTAACCCCCACGATAATCGAGGGACTACTGTGACTCAACTTTATATGCTCCTTTCAGCCAATTAATGCTAATTTCACTTTTTAAATTGTCATTTTTTTAGCTTGTTTTTACTAACTTCAGTTTTTTCTGGTCATTTTAGTTTAGTTTTTTTTTTTTTTTTTGCTAATTTGAGAAGTTTTCTAATCTTTTCACCTGTTTATTCAGCATTTTCTACACGTTTCTTCTGTTTTTCTACTACTTTCCACTTTTCTTTTCCTGCTTTCAGCAAATGTCAGCTGTTCAGATTCAACTCGCGTTAACAGTTCAGACATGAAACCTTTTCAGCTGGTTTCAGCTTCTTCAGCAGCTTTCAGCAATAAATATACTGCATTTGGCAGGAAATGCAGTTTCCCTAGTTTTAGATGATACATTCCTACTTCCTGTTGGGTCCAATCAATAATGGCCCAATCAAATCTGACACCCAGAAAGTTATGAATGGCTTCTGTACAAATCTTGTTCCTGCTCCTCACCTTGTCCTCCTCTCGGACCATGTACTGAGCCACTTTAAAGGAGCTGAGGTACTCGTTCATGTTCTGGACGTCCGTGTCGTCCGTGGCGTCTTGACTCCGGTCCAGCAGCCTCTCGATGGCGGTGCTGTCGTAGTGAATGACGTTGCCCTCGTCCTCCACTTTATCCCCTGAATTGTTCTTCATGCCTGTCGAAGGAGCGGAAAAGAGTTTAACCTCTTCTTTCATGATAATTCAACACAAAAAATAAATAAATGTTTCTTTGATTCAAGAAGAGAAGCTGACGAAGCTTTCCTCTGGAAAACATTCAGAGATTAAAGCATAAAAAATATATTTTGACTGAATTTTTTTACACTTAAAGAGGTCACCCAATCACCGAGTGTAGAGTGGACATGATCTTAGTAAAAGTACACAGTATGTTCTTTAAAGAAGCAGCATCAGGACTGAGATCATTCTAAAGGGACGGGTTTAGAACAACTTTCCTGTAGTTTACTTTGATGTAATTTCCAAGTTTTCATTTGAGGGTTATCTTATATACTGTATATTTAAAATAATTATAGCACAAGAAGTCTTCTGTAGAGTATAAATTTACTTTTCCCCCCAGACTTCTTCCCTAAAATGATTTCATTCAAAGGGATTATTTACAGGATTTCAGCTCATGTAGTCATTTAATATTATTTACTTTTCATAGTTGATCATTTATTAAACTACATTTATCAGTCTGTTTATAAATATAACCAAGTTTAGCTCATCCAAACAGACACAGCACCATGTTAATGCTGAAACACCGTGTAGAACTGAATTTATTTAGATATTTATGATAAACTACAAACACCTGAAACTGACTCTCTCTCAGAGAGAACTTTGTGACTTTAAGGTCAAAAATTAAAGCTAACAGAGACGCACACCTTTGTTATAATCTGGAGCATAAATATTCATCTTTTAGCTTTAAAACTCTATTTTAGAAAAACTCAAGCAGCAGAAACTGCCTCTCTCGCTGTGAGAGAAACTCAACAGGCTGCGCGCTCCCACGTTGATGCACGTTTGTTTGTCTGTCTGAGCCGGAGTGGTCACGTGCGCAGGTTGCACATGTCTGTATGATGATGATGACGACGCTAGAAAACATTAACGTTTAATAACAAGTTGGGTTTTAGATACAAAAGTCCCAAGGAGGTCAAGGCGTGGTGAGTGAGGAGGAGGTGACGGTGTAACAGTTGTGGTATTTCTTCCAGCTGTAGTGAACTGATTTCATGTGAACACACGTTTAATAATTTATTATAAATTATCACCTTCATGAAGGCCATGAATTGTCCTCCTTAGTTTGCTGCAGGTGAGCGCTGCTCACACCCACCGTGACCCAGACAGCACGAGCCACTCTGCTCTGATTGGATCAAACTTTGACTCTGGTTCTATTTAATGGTTGAAACCAGTGTCAGTTTAATCCCAGTATTATCATTAGACTGGAACACACGTTTTTTCCCCCTCCTCATTTTTACAATGACAGAAATCCGTCGGAGAACTTTAACCCGTGCATTCATCACATGTGGTGCGTCGTCACCTTCTCCCTCGTCCTTGAAGAGCTCTTCTGTCCCGAACTTGAGGATATCGTCCAGCTCCTGTTTGGTCATGGAGCCGGCTTTGGAGCCCAAACCGGGCCTCACCACCAGGTGAGTCAGCATCATCTTCCTCTTGGCCACTTGAGTGATTCGCTCCTCCACGCTGGCTCGCGTCACAAAGCGGTAGATCATCACCTTGTTGGCCTGCCCGATGCGGTGAGCTCTGCTGAACGCCTGCGCACAGACACGGTTCGATTTAGGAGAGTTTAGAGAGAAGGTTATAATTCCTCCCCTGAAGGTGTGAACTGCACCTGTATGTCGTTGTGAGGGTTCCAGTCTGAGTCGAAGATGACGACGGTGTCCGCCGTGGCCAGGTTGATGCCTAAACCACCCGCCCGGGTGGAGAGCAGGAAGCAAAACTGACCAGCTCCGGGAGCTGCAGACGAGGACAGAAGATGTCCGCGGGGAGAGGACAAAAACCGAGAAAGACATTAAAACCCAGCAATTCTTGAAGGAATGCAACATTTGAAAGGATTTTATTTTGAAAAGAACAACGTTGGTCAAATCTTGAGTTGAGGCTGACTCTCAGCTACTACCACACCACACATCAGCTCAACATCTGTAAAGCTGACTGGCTTACGGCCATGTTCATGTTGGCTAAGGCTAATTAGCCGTGGCATCCGTCTTTACTAAGAAAGTTATTCAGTTGTAGATGAACGTCCAATAAAAGCTTTGAATTTCATTAAGATCAGTCCAGTGGATCGTGAGATATTTTACTAACAGTACAAAGACTTACATGATCACCCGCCTTTTGGTATAAATAAATCATTCTGATATAATAATATATACATCACAACATAAATATTTTTTACGCCGGATGCCCTTCCTGATGCAATCACAGATCACCGAGCTAGCACAGCCCTCTGTGTGGAGCAGAGTGCTGCTATTTAAAGCACCTGGAGGGGCAGATGGTGGTGGATAAGGGCCTTGCTCAAGGGCCCAGAGTGGGGCAAATGAGGGTGGAGGCAGGTGTGGTTGTGTTTCACCTATCCCACCCACGTTGTTGATGTTGTCAGTGCAGGGAGTTGAACTGACAACTTTCCGACCACAGGAACACCTTCTCCAACGTCTGTGCCACCACTCCCCCACTAGCATTAATACTTGACAATAATCAATAAAGGGAAATTGGACTTGGGTAAGGGAATATGGAGTGGGTAGAATTAATGTACAGGCCAATCTTTTTATTAGCGTCCCTTCAAATTGACACTTTTCAGTGATTTCAACATTCTTTTAGGACGGGTCATCTATGGTCATGTGGGTCCAGAACATTTTCAAAAACTTCTCAGGAGGAATTTGAACTGAGCCAACAAACTTTTCACTTCAAGAGTCCACTGCCAAGTCATACAACCTCTTTTTTGAAGAATGACAAATTATTCTTTTGGTCATCATGAGAATCAACTAAAGTGTGCTTTCCAAGCAGAAGAAAACGCAAAACAATAGAACCAACAAATAAAAAATAAAAAGAATGCTTTTTTATTATAAAGGTAAATGTTTACAAGGCTTTTTACGTAATAATTAGAAGTCCTCTTCCACCAAAACTAGTATAATTTGTCCTTTCATTAAAATTTGTTCATGTTTAGATTTTTGTTGTTGATTAAAAATTCTAATGTTTGTGGCCTGCGTGTTCTTAGCGTAATCATTTTGGTTTTGTGTCAAAAATGTTTGGACATTACTGGTACAGGCATAATAGCCAAAAATAAAAAAGCTACACAATAACACTGCAGAGGTTTTATTGTGATGCACATCTTTTTAAACTTCTATCAGCTAAAGGAACGAGTGTACGATGAATCGACTGCAGTCCTCACCGTTGAATCGATCGATGGCCTCTTGCCTCAGAGCTCCTGTGATGCCCCCATCGATTCTCTCGTACTTGTAGCCTTCATAATCCAGAAAGTCTTCCAGTAGATCCAGCATTTTTGTCATCTGAAACAGAGGACATCAACGCATGCTAGTTGAACGACGTCAGCTGGAACAGCAGCGTGTTCTGAAGGTGTCGTGACGTAACGAACATGTGTTTGTTACGTGCGTACCTGAGAGAAGACCAGCACTCGGTGTCCCTGCTCCTTCAGTTTCCTCAGCATCTTCTGCAGCAGCGTCAGCTTCCCTGAGGCTTTTGTTAGCGCCGACCCTTCGTACGCACCGCTGGGCGTTTTCTGGGCTTCCTACAAAAACACAAGTAACAACCCAAAGTCAACGCCGGCGGATTAATCTGTGCTTCAAATGATGACTGAACGAGCCAACCAGACTCAAACTGTTCTCTCTCTAAAGCAACTGTTTTAGAGGACATTTTGGACATAATTCACCATGAACAGCTTGTTGACGGACACTGAAGCCACTTGTTCACTTAAACATGGGATAAAGTTTCCCATTCCAGAGGCTGTTTTTTCTTTAGCTGACTGTTCCATAATCTACGTTAGAAAGCTGATGGTTTTATTTTAGGAGAAAAGAACAAGTGTTCTGCCCTGTTCTGTTGTGTGGGACGAAAACTAAACGACATGCAGAGTAACGTGGCAAAAAGGAAAAAGCTTCCTTTCTCATCAGATCCACACTTTCAGCATTTCATGATTTGAAAAGCAAGTCGACCGACACGGACACTTGTTAAAATAAGCATCAAGAACTGACCCAAAAGACACAAACTTTATAATGAAATGCACAAAACAGGCAACAACAGATCACATTTGAACATGGAAATACAAACTGCGAGCTAAAAAATAAAAAAAAGAGGGAAAATTTGTTACAAATGACATCATCAGCATCAACGTGTGGCATGAAGGCTGCACAGCTGCAGAAAGAAAAGCTCTGCAGAAAGTGGTGAAGGCTGCACAGAAGTCTGTTGGAGTCAGTCTCCCCACCATCACAGACATCTACACCTCTAGATGAAGGAAGAGGGCCACCTGCATCACGAAGAACCACACTCACCCAGCACACAAACCATTTGCCCCGCTTCCCTCACGCAGGAGGTTGAGGAGCATTAAGTGCAGAACCACTAGCCTGAGGAACAGCTTCTACCCTGAAGCTGTTAGACTCAAAAATCCTTAATCAGGATAATTTACTGTAAGGAAAAAAAAAATCACTGTAATGCCACTTTAATTGGTGATATGTGACTTATCGGTGCTGGATTATCTTATGCTGCTGTACTCATTCATACCTATCTGCTCACCAAAGACTCATGTTCGGGCTGCTGTTGTTTTACGCTGTATTGTTTTACATTATTAGTGTTTAGCGTATATCTGAGATATTTTAGCGTATCGTTTGGCGTTCGTTTAGCGTATATCTTAGTGTATATCTTGAATCCTTCTTTATTATTTCTTTTTATACGTTATATTTTTGCTATTTTGCAGTGTAAATGGGACACTATGTACATAATTTCGTTCCACCTCATGTACCACATGTGATGCGAATGACAATAAAATTAACTAGAACTTGATAAAATGCCTTGGACTAAACGAGAAGTAAAGACTTTACTTGTGCCATAACAACTATATAAAAACATCCACGTTTAATCTTCAATCATCTCTTTTATATCTGTGCTTAATTTTAAATTGAGCAGAACCACACAAGGTGTAGAACCGATCAGGACTGTACTGAAACTTTTTAAAATTAAATTATAACAACAGCTTTATCTGTGTTTATAAAATATGATTTCCTTCAGTCTTAGTGTTTCTGTATTCATGTGTTCATCTGCACTCACCATGGAGGCGACGGGAAAGAGGTAAGGGTGGTTGCAGCACTTCTTCAGGTCCATCATGATGTTGAGTAGAGAGACCTGGTTTCCTCCACCTTTCGAGTTGAGCGCTTCAAAGTTCTTGGTCAGAATCAGCTTGTAGTACTTCCTGTTAAAAATAAAAGCATAAAATCAATGATATTAAATGAATAAAACAAAGGCTGCAGTCAGTGGTGGGCACAGCTAACCAAAACGTTAGCAAAGCTATTTTTTTTGTTAGCAAAACTAACGCTAAACTGATAAAAACAATTGGTGGAAGCTAATGCTAAAGTGCTAACTGTTATAATACACTGCTGTCGCTGACACTGTAAGACTGTCTGTAATGTGACAACGTTGTGAGTGAACACAACTCAAAACGGTTCATGAATAACAAGTAAAGCATCCATGTCCTGTGCAAAGGTGAGCTTTCAGAAATTAATCCAGTCCATCGGAACCAAGGAGGCGGAGCAGAACTCTGTAGTGCTGAATCAGAGTGATGCATTCAATGTGTGTTGGACGTCTCCCTCGTGACATTTACTGTAATGAATCAAATCACTTTAGTGATTCTCTTTGTAGTTAACTACTTTTATAAACTAACTTCAGAGTTGTTGTGCGTCATAATCAATATTCTCTCCACAATAAATCTGTTTGGATTAAAGTAAAGATGTGTGAAATGTGTGAGAGAGTCACGTCCCAGAGACGGTGTGAGCGTTGCAAAGCATGCTGGTTAGAAATTATTTGTGCAATGTTTCTGAGTGTGAAAATGTTTTATGTTATTTTCCTGTTCTGTGGTTTGATTTGGCATTTTATCTGTGTAAATCTGTTCTCCTGTATGCTTTTAATGTGGAAAACTGTCTTTTGAAAAATTAGCGGACTTGAGTTTACTGGATTTAAATTTAGCGGAAGCTAATTCCACTAAAGGTTTTCAAAGTTAGCAAAAACGCTAATCTGCTAAAAGGAAAGTTAGCGAAACTGTGCCCACCGCCGGCTGCAGTGATTCAGTTCAACTCCTTTGAATGAAGGTTACAAATAAACGCAGGTATCTGTCTGGAGAACGTTCAGCCGTTCCCTTCATGTTGATCTGTATTTATTAGTGTCGTACTTCTGCATGGGGCTCAGCTCCACTCTGACAATCAGCTCCGTCTTGGAGGGCATGTTCTTAAAGACGTCGGCTTTGAGTCTCCGCAGCATGTGAGGGCCCAGCAGGTCGTGGAGCTTCTTGATCTGGTCCTCCTTGGAGATGTCGGCAAACTCTTCCAGGAAGCCCTCAAGGTTACTGCACAAAGAAAGAGAGCAAGGATTAAAATAAAAAGAAGAGTGCCGCAAGCAACACATTATATGCCCCTTGATAAACTACTATACAGTGATCTGTAGCAATGGACAGGACAAATACCTTATATAACATTTGACTTTGATTTGTGATCTTGACCTTGAAGCTGACCTTGAAGTGTACGTGACACTCTGTCTAGCGATGATAATAAGTGTATGAAGATTCATTAAATTATTTTGAGCAGATCAGAAGTTACGGGCGAGACAAGAGAAAGTTTACAAACAGAAACCATAATACGTCCTGCTTTCAACCGGCGTACAAAAATAGGAAAAATGCGTCTTTATCCAAATAATAAATGTGGTGTTTTGAACCAAACTACATGATCTGATCTTTGATGATAATAAGAATCTGTCATACTTAAAACGATTGGGTGTGAGAAAGTTGAGCAAATGGAACAGCTCCTCCAGGTTGTTCTGCAGAGGAGTTCCTGTCAGCAGCAGCTTGTAGTCGATCTTGTAGTCGTTCAGCCGCCGGAAAAACTGCAAACAGAGACAAGAAGCCAGGGTTTGATTTGAGCCGGATCCTGCCAGAACAGGATCCGGGAACTCTTTATTTTGACAGGGAGCGTTCCGGTAATCGTTTGATTGGATCCGGTAACTCTCAGGCTTACTAATAATAATGTTATGAACAAATATGACTGCCATGAACAAATAAAACTTATATTGGATATGTAAGCTGAAAATAATTACATAAACACTCATTTTAAACACAACAGCCACTTACGAGCTTCTTAATATCAAACACAAGCTGCACCTTCAAGTAAGCATCTCCGCTTCTGCCCTTAAAACAGCTTCGCCCCAAAAGTTCGAAATCATGGGCAATTTATAAAAAAACAAAAATATAATAAAACAGTACAACTAATTTGCAAATCAGTTTTACAGTTTAAGTGGGTCATTAATAAAATTTTGATTATTTATTAAAAATACAACGAGAGAAATGTTTGCTGGGTAATCACGTTACGTACGTCACATGTCAAACCAACGGTGCCAATTTGTCAAAATAAGAGCGATCAAAACGTCGAAAAGAAAGTCCCATTTACTTTTTTTTACAAAAAAGGCTTCTCGTACTCCGGTTTCCTCCCACAGGAAAAATGGAAAAATCTGGTTTGTGTTGCTCTACAATAAGGCAGTCTGGAGAAGACTGGTGGAATGAAACTGGCTAAAGAAAGGGTGTCGTGTTTAATAACTTCATCCGTCTCTGACATAAAGCAGCAACGAGCACTTTGTAAATAAATATTTGAACATGCTCGGACCAGGAGTCACTTTACAGCAAAAAACATACTTATAAAAGTTGAAGACGCTTAGGGACAGGTTATATTTACAGTCAGTGCTCAGTGTGAACAAAGAGCCAATATGAGTGGGATCTTTCGCACGGCATATAGAGGCCAGCACGTGGATTTGAAAGAGAAATTGATTGTCAGGAATTAAACGGACTTGATATGGGCAGAGTACTGCATTCTAATGTTGCATGTTCGAACATACAGAAACACGTTTCAGTAGAAATGAAAAGAAAACATTGACTGAATTGTGGAGTGTGAAACTAAAACTTAGCCTCTTGCTGGACGAGTCCACTAGTTGAAATAAGAACAGTGCACTTGTTATATACATAAGAACACAGCTAGCAGATATGGACAAATCAAGTAACATATTTACTGAACTGGTTGAACTGGATCATTTATCTGCAGATGGTATTGTGCATAATCTGGAGTTTTTGTCTAAACCTCTCATTGGATGGTGCGTGTGATATGTTGGATGGAGAAGTGGTGTTGCGAGCAGACTTCAGGATGTTTGCCTTCATATGCTCAGCCCACAGACTTGAGCTTACGGTAAATGACGTGGTGAAAGAGATGGAGTCAGTCAATCATTTTAAAATACTGATTGACATTTCTATTTATAACACGTCTAACAAGAACCATGTGGAACTGAGGGAGTGTGCATCCAGTGTAGACATGCAATTGTGCAAAACCGGTCAGATATTAAACACAATATGGGTAGTCTCCAGTTTTTGTTTGGAACAACTATCCTGCACTTCATAGACATTTTAAGTTGGCACCAGATGATTCCACCCATGATGAATCTGATGTGCACTTTCTCAGTATTGTTGGACCTCCTTTGACCAAGTTCAATCCGGTCCCTTATGTGAGGTCGTGGGTGGCTAAAGGATGCAGAACTGCCACTGAGACAAGGAGCAAGGTGCAGAGCAGGGAGGAGGATGAGGAGGAACACCTGGCCATGGTGTGAGATGTACCAAACAACTAGGGTAGTAAGATAAAAAATGATCCTGCACCTAAAATACACTTATAAAGCACACATAAAATGTTTAAAATCCATAAAAATGAATTGGTTTAGCATTTTGACATTTGTGCACCTAAGCCTTATGTTGTGTGTGTGTTCCAGTATCAGTGTTGGCCTCAGTGGTCTCCACTAAATTAAGCACCACAAGAAACACAAAGCCCAACCAGATAAACTTTGACATAACGGATTAGGACACAAAGATCAGAATGATCAGAATTTAAATCAGAATTTATTTTTTACAATATGTCATTATTATGTCTATTGTTCTGCGTAAAATCTATAAATGATCAAAAAAATTGAAAATGCACAGATTTGTGGTTCATTGAGGTTCATTTACGACATTTGTCCACCAGGGGGAGAAGATGAGCATCAACAGGGACGAGCTGAACCTGAGTCGCTTTCTTTCCATCTTGGTGATGGGATGGAGGCAGCCAGGCAGGTTATACAGGTTGTACTGTAATGCCTCTGAGCTGCCAAGAGAGGTAGTCACAGAGCTGAACGAGTTGGTGTGCGTGAGTGTAAATCGTCATTGTGACCCAAAAGTGTACTATGTAGTGATCCACGGTCTGCAGGATTAAGAATCAGAGATAAACGACATATTCTGTGTAGTGCTCCACGTCAAATGTATACTCCAAGCCGGTTCCGCGATGTTGACGTCCCATCATCCTGGGACTCGACTGGTGATTTATGAATAATTATATAATTTAAGGGGGGGTTGTGTCTTTGTGTCCAAATCATGCAACATTCTGTGCAAAGGCCTAGAGACTAGCAGCGGTACCTTTGACTGGTTGTTCTTCAGTCGGTGAGCCTCATCCACCACCAAGCAGGCCCAGTCGATGGACTTGAGCGCCGTTTGATCAATGGTCACCAACTCGTAGGAGGTCAGGAGTACGTGGAATTTAATCGGAGCCTCTCGCTGCAGGAAGGAAAACAGAGCAGTAAGCGTGAGGTGTTTTACTACAAAAGGTTGAATTTTTTTTTTATTACCGTATTTTTCGGACTATAAGGCGCAATTAAAATCCTTTAATTTTCTCAAAAATCAACAGTGAGTCTTATAACCCGGTGCATTTTATGTATTTATTCTGGCTGTGCTTACTGACCTCCAACCTATTTTATGTGGTTATTATGAATGAGTTGAATAACTTATTTGACTGTTTTGTTTCGCTTAATGCGCCTTATAGTCCGAAAAACACGGTATTATAAAGGTTTATGGCCAGAAGAGCCTCCTACCCTCAGTTTGAAGGCCTTCTTTCCTGCTTTGATCGAATCATCAAACGTGAACTCGTTCTCTCGGATGATGGCTCGACTGTCTTTGTCTCCCGTGTACGTCACCACATAAAAGTCAGGCGCCCACATCTCAAACTCCCTCTCCCAGTTTATGATGGTGGAGAGGGGCGCACTGACCAGGAACGGACCCTTAGTGTGACCCTGAGAAGAACAAACACGAACAACAACTCACACCTCGGCGCTTTCAGCCGGCCTCGTGAGACGAGAAACAAGCCCAGTACCTCTTTCAAAAGTGAATACAGAAAGACGATGGTCTGGATGGTTTTGCCAAGGCCCATTTCATCGGCCAGAATGGTGTCAGTGCCCTGAGCCCAGGAAAACCGGAGCCAGTTCAAGCCCTCCAGCTGGTACAGATGCAGCGTGCCACCCGTCGCTGTGACAAAGTCCGGCTGCTCCTCGTATTTTATTGTAAGCTGGAGAAAAAACAAAAAGACAAAATCTAAAATAATAAAAGAAAACATGCAGGTTGGGCTGCCTTCAGGCCCAGGCCTCCCATTACCAAAGAGACCTGTGATCCCAGTGAGATTCATCTGGTTCAAAAAAAATTATGATCAGAATCACAAGTGGACAGTTTTCTGAAAATGTGAGGAGAAAACAAAAAAAAACAACAGCTTATAAAAAACATTTGAATAAAAACGGACTTTCTGCATAATGTGCAGTACAGAAGGATCATAAAAAGTTAAGCTTGATCGATTAGTGTTTCCTGAAAGTCCATTCGAATGCAGATTTTTATAAATCAGAGAAACCGATAGCAAACATATAAAGCCAATTATTTTATGCATATGTTTGTTTTAAGTCCATAAAAAGCCCATAATAATTCAGTTCATTTATAGAAGTTAATGAACTTAAGTTGAGTACATTATTTAATAACAAATAGCAAGAGTTACACACATTATACACCCATGAGCAAACTATTATAAAGCAATCTATAGCAAAGGCCCGGACAAGAAAAGACCTCGTCTATAATTTGACCTTGATTTGTCACCTTGACCTCGGAGCTGAAGTGATGAAAAGTGTATGCGACACTCCGTCTAGTGATGATGCATGTGTGTATTAAGATTTATTAATGTGTCTTGAGCAGATCAGAAGTCATAGGCTGGACAGAGAAAGTTTACGGACAGGGACGATACCATAATGTGTCCGTCTTATGTATAAAAACTAAAATGGAGTCCATCAAATCATCACCAGAGCATCCAAATTACAATCTACTAGATCTTGACAAGGAAAATGAAACTACAGTGAATGACTGTGGTCAGTAAAGGGGGTTAGGGCTGGGCTCAAATAAGTTGAAGCTCCCGCAAACCGAACAAAAGGCACCCCTGCCTCGAAAGACACCCACAGTGCGAGACGATGACGGAGTCAAGAGTAACAACGCTGCTAGTCTTAGTATACGTCGGCATGGCTAATGATTCTTTAAGTAAACTGCGAAGAATCAGTCAGTTAAAAGCTACAAGTATGAGTAGGCCTGTCACGATAACAAATTTTGCAGGGCGATTAATTGTCTCTGAAATTATTGCGATAAACGATAATATTGTTTGAAATTTGACAATAATTAGAAATTATTGTCAAATTTAAGAAGAAATGTTGGTTAATTTGTTTTGAGTGTTGTACATTTTTTGACCATTGGATGGCAGTGTGAGACTCTTTGAACCGAAGGATGGCTAGTGAGGGAGCGAGCAGTGGGAGGGAGGCCCCTTGACGTGACATGGGCTGTCTCTTTCCTTTTTTTTTCTCGGACGCTCAATGTGGTTTGAGCTCGTTAGCATACCATTTTTCACACAAAGCTTTTAATAAAAAAGTCAGTAAACAAGTTCTCAGCTTCTTTTTGCAGAGAAAAACAACTTTTTACACGAACGCACGGGTTTCAACTGTGACTTTTGGAGCTTCGACAAGACAGAGGTTTTTTCCCGAGGTTGGCCTGTTAGCTTAGCTCGTAGCTTAGCTTCTCAGCTTAGCTGCTTTTAACGATCCAAAAGCGCAATTTTGGACGGTTAAAATGAATTTTAAAGAGAAAAGAGAAAGGGTGGGGTCAGTGAAGAGCACCGGAGTTGAGCTTTTTGTCATCCAGTGTCTTCAGTAGAAAGAGAGAGACACGAAGAAATGATTTATCATATGATTAATTGATTAATTGTTTATCGTGACAGGCCTTAGTATGAGTTCCGACAACAGCTACAGATATAAAACTACAGTTCACCTACATCAGTAAGGGGTGAGGCAGGAGACTCTTCTTCTTCGCCCTCACCGTCTTTACTCGCCATCTTCCTGGGTTTGTCCATGTCCTCCTTCAGGATGGCGTCCCTGTCACAACAGCAGAATTATCAGTTAATGCTAAAGCAGGAACATTTTCATGAGCATGTGTAGCTGGATCCTGCAGTTCCACCTGTGTCTCCAGTAGTTGGTTTTGTGGAGCTCAAAGTCCGGGATGTCCATGTTGTCTTTCTCCCAGGTACACTGGTCATAGGTCAGGTCTTTCCACTTGACCAGGTAGTGGTACGTCCCCTTCTTGTCCACACTGGCAGAGGGACATGTGCAGGACAATGAGCGCCGGTACAGAAACCTGAATCCAACATGTTCCAACGCGCTGCCGTTTATACCTGTGGTTTATGATGCGCTGGATCATCATCCACTCGGGCTTGATGCCGTATTTGTAGTATTTGTCCTCCAGCATGGCGTACTGCGGGTCTTTGGCTCTCCTCTTCTCGCTCTTCCCCACTCCGTTCTCGTCCTCTGTACCTGAACCGTAATCCAGGCTGGGGGGCTCGTCCATGTCGGTCTTCCTCTGGTAGTTTCTGTACATCACAGAGTGGAAGATCTCCAACTGAGGGATGGAGAAGGTGGTTAATAAGAAGCAGAACTTCTCCAAAACTGTAAGGACGTTTCTGGCACTGGGATGGTTTTACATATTTTTGAAGATATGCAGTGAAGGGAAAAGGACAGTGCACTTGTTTTAGTTTTAGGTGTTACATGTCAGGCTATAAGAAATATTCTGGTCTTTTTCCAGGTTTTTAAGTTATTTATATCTAGAGTTAAGTGTATAAAAACACACAAAACAGTCTGTTATTTCTGAAACAAAAATGAAGCCAAAGTGGAAAAGCTGTGTGTGAAAACTGCCTCCAGCCCAGGATTCATGTACCTTCTTTAGCATTAATAACTCTCAGTAGTTATCAGTCTCTCATACGGTTGTGGAGGAAGTTTGGCCCATTCTTCTTTACAGCATTGCTTCAGTTCATTGAGGTTTGCAGACATTTTGTTTCTGTACAACTTCTTTAAGGTCCCAAAAGAGCATCTCAGTCAGGTTGAGGTCTGGACTTAGACTGGACAACTGATGCAGCACGACTGTGGCTGCAAAACAAGCCCACACTTTCAGCCCTCCACCACCGTGCTTAACACTTATGTTCAGCTGACTTGCTGTGCTTGGGTTTCTCCAAACATGCTGCTGTGTATTATGGGTAAACATCTTTACTTTGGTCTGTCCTGAAGGCATTGTTCCGTAAGTCTTGTGGTGCATTCAGGTGAAACTGTGCAAACCCAACTCATGCCGCCGTTCTTTTCTAGAAAGAGAATGTCTTCTATTGTAACCCTGTCAAACAAGCCACACATGCTCAGTCTTCTTTTAACTGTCCTGTCATGAACTTTAACCTTTAACCTACAAACTGAGGCCTGCAGAGTCTGAGATGGAGCTTTTTATTTTTTTTTATTGCGACTTCTATGAGCATTGCACGGTCTGACCTTGGGGTGAACATTTTGGGACGTTCACTTGAAGGAAAACTGACAACTGTCTTTAACTCATTTCAACTTCTGGATAATATTTCTCTCTATAGAATGATGAAGTTTAAACTGTTTGTAAATGAACTTTAACCCTCCTGAAACTGATGGACAGCAATAGATGCTTCTCTTAGATTATTGCTGATGTCTTTCCACTTGGAATTGTACTGTGCAAAAGTTTTAGACCAATCCTAATATGCTGCTGGATGCAAAATGTGTTCCCCTGCTGTGGATCATAAATTGATGAAAATTCTTAAATAAATTTAAAGATTAAAGATAACAGCTGTTAACTTTTGGGGGGTTTGCATTTCCCATACAATCCAAACTTTTTCTTCAGAATATGTAAATTAATATTTTTTTGTATTAAACTGTTATTTAAAAACAACTTGATACATATAAAACAGTTAAAGATTCTCTCACAAACTGTTATCGTGGTGAGGATAATCATTTGTGTATTAAACTGCAAAAATAAATAAATAAAACAGCAAATTAATGCGTTTCATTCTTCCTTTGTTGCTGTTTTTAAACATTTGGTGTCTCACCTGCAGCTCGGTGATCCAGGTGCAGTGCCAGTACGACTGGCTGGTCAGCTTCACGAAAAACTCCCTCTCAGCTCTGCCCTTCATTGGGGGAGGCGGGGGGGCATCGGGGAGGGCGTCAGGAGGAGGCGGGACAGGAATGGGAAGCGGAGGCTCGCCCCACCGCCAGTGCAGGATCTTCTGCACCCGCCCTTTGATATGTGGGCACTGGAGCGGGAGAATTATTGCAAATCAGACTTGAACCGTCTCTCTCCAACCAAGTCGCAGAGATAAAAACACAGAAGTCACCGACGTCTGAACAAAGTGCGAAGCTAAACGAAGCTTCGGAGCGACTGACCGTGCAGCGAGGACACAGCCACTCTCCGTTGGGGATCTCGGGCAGCGGCGGGTTCAGGCAGTGAATGTGGTAGGAGGACGTGCACGTGTCGCAGCACAGCAGCTCTCCTCCGTCTTTACACACCCGGCAGAACTCCATGTGGTCGTCGTCTTCCTCCTCTGCCCCCGTGGGGACACCCACCTCAGATATGACTCTGTCCTCGCTGTCCTCCTCAAAGTCCTCAAAGTCTTCATCTTTTGCCTCCCACTGGATTCCCTCTTTTTCCTGAGAAAGCACAAACAGCAGAAGAGTTCAGACTTTTGCTGCTCGTGTCTTTATTGGCAGCAGAGACGACAGGGAGCCCCAGAGGGAGAGCATGAGGGGACTCAAAACTAAGCCTGTACAGGCTGTAGCTGAGGTTTCATCTTCTACTTTGAGTGAAAGTGACTGAGAGACATGAGATGTGAGGGAGGAGGCCTCACGAGACCTTCAGTTAAGCTGCTGAGAAAGTACCGAAAGAAAAAAAGCAGAGTTGATGAAAAATGGATCCTCCCTCTGAGTGAACCCATTCTGGGTGTACAAAGGTTCAAAAAAGAAACGCCTGATTTATGAAACGCCTCCTTTCTCTAACCTAGTTTCATCGCCTACTGTCCCAGAGCAACAATGTCTCTTAAAGTGACTGAATATAAAACGCTATCTGTTGCAGGGCCATATATATATATATATATATATATATATATATATATATATAAATAAATAAAGGATTTTACATTAAATACAGGAACACAAACGGGTAACAACAGCAAATGAAGCAAAAATAATATCAAACAAAAGTATGTAAAAGATTGACCCAAAAAAAGTAGGGAGGGAGGACAGAAGGAAGGAAGAGAGGGAGGGAAGGAGGAAGGAATTGAGGATAGAAGGAAGGAAGGAAGAACTGTATGTATGTATGTATGTATGTATGTATGTATGTATGTATGTATGTATGTATGTATGTATGTATGTATGTATGTATGTATGTATGTATGTATGTATGTATGTATGTATGTATGTATGTATGTATGTATGTATGTATGTATGTATGTATGTATGTATGTATGTATGTATGTATGTATGTATG